ATTCCTGCTTAGTTTAACTCTTCATGTCACTTCTCAGGAGGGACCTCACTTCTCTGGACATTCCAATCACAGAATGTATGTGCGTGCATGTGAGCAGGCACACCTCAAGGAGATTCACAGGCACTAAACACCCTACAGATTTTACAGATGAAACTGGAAAAACTACTGTCCCCTTCGATACATTAACCAGCTTAGCAGGTTTTCATATGCAAATCTTGAGTGCCTCAGGTCCATCAGGAGCCCGAAGCAAGCAGCAACCATCCCCAACCTTGTGCCATTCTGTCAGCATGAGTATGTGTGGCACACATCCAAAGTTGTGCAGGTGTTCAACAGAAATTCTTGCAAGATCAGTATTTGTCATCTACCTCCTGTACCAGCACCACCAAATACCTGTCAGTTCCATGGACTTCTAAAGCTGACCATTCTATAAATGCAGTACTGAAAGCTTGGTTAGTAAGAATATATACCAAGGGATTGCCCAGTAGCTGTCCAGTAAAGGTCCTGAACAAATAAACAATTAAAATGTAGCAACAGTTGAACATTATCTTCCTAGATACACAACAATCTCAATCCAATTTCCCTGCTTTGAACTGCTTACATAAAATGCATACTTACAGAATGCCTGTTTTCCACAGAATCTGCAAAATAAAATACAATGTGTAAATTATGAAATGGCACATTGCAGAGTGATCAGTTCTACGTTCCAGAAAACAGACTTTTATTAAGTTAATCTAACTTTTTAGGTTCAACCTCGGGTCCTAAGAGGTATCCAAGCACTAGCTTAACTCAAGTACGTGGGTGAGACCAGACATTTCAAAGACCCTGTTGAACAGTACATGTTTGACAGCTTTCCTGATTATGGTTTAGAGCAGAAGTCTCTACTGAGAGCACAAGCTGTTACTGGACAAAAAAGAGTCTTCCTTTTAGAGACAAGTTCTCATGAGCATTATACTTCCTCTTCCAATTCCTTGCCAGGAAAATAACGTACTACAGAAATCCAGTATAAGATACAATTTTCAGAGCCAAATAAGATCCTGCAAAGACACCTGAAATTTTATTAATAAAAAGATGCTTGTTCCAAATGAAAGCCTGAGAGTCAGAAGGCTCTTTCCATTTAGGGTCAGTGAACTCCAAGATTAGATCTTATGCTTTTTTTTTTTTTTTTTTTAAAGTGGATTTAGCTATTCAGAAGTTTCATAGAATACCTTCAAATACTAAAATATAAATATTTCTTTGCCCTCTGAAAGTAAGATAATGTAGAGACATGAGGAAAGTAAATCCTTTTTTTGAAGAGGACTTAAAGTCTTGTTAAAAGTGCTCTTTTGAATGAGCTGTTACGATATTTCACACGTGACAAAAGTAATTGCTGAATCTTGAAGGCTATTTTCTTGGAAAGTATATCCAATTCAGTGGAGAGAGGCAGTGTCACAGAAATTCATCTAATGCTCAGAGCAGAGTGTTTGGACTAGGGTTCTGGGTTAATCTTGCCATTAATTGTTCTATAAAGGTAGGATAGTGTCTGAATCTATTTTTTTTCCTAAGTGTGCATTTTTTAAATAGCAAATAATAACATCTCCCATAGGCAGAACACTTATGTAAATTTTGAAAAGTTCTCTGAAATCATTAAATGAAGGATATTATGAAAAGTCCTACTACCATAAATAGACCTTAATAAAGTTCTTTCAGAAACTCCTTTGCCAGCCAGAAGAAATACTGAGGGAACTGAACACAGGCGAACCTAACTTTGCAGACAACAATGCTAAAGTTTCTTTTTCTCTCTCCTTTATGCTTATGTCCATGTATATTTGTGGTGCAGTTAAGCTCATACAGTTGCTACCATCTGCATTTTTATTACATGAGGATTGTGATTCTGCTTCACTGGAAGCAGCACCATGAACACAGTATACAATCAGGCTGGAATCTCTGGAACACAGAGAGACTATCTGAATGTCGCTGGCACTGTATGCGATGAGTTTTCTCCAACACAGTTCTCCCCAGAACTTTTAGCCTCGGAAAAGGATTAAAAACTGAGGTAACTACAGCACCTTATGCCAGTGCATAAATTTAATTTCAGTACAAAATTGATCTCAATGTTTGGCAAGATTGATTTCTATATGTTTAGCCAGTTTGATAGGAAGAAAACCCAAGAAGTTACATGGGAGACACATAAAAGCTTTTTGTGTCCTGAAAGCTGACAGAAGTGAACAAAAACACTGCTGACCCAGTGCTACATCAAAGCTTGACTTTAAGTGGACAAAACTATATGTAAGGTTTATGAAGTGAGGTATTAACGAGCTGTAGTTTAGTCCTCTGTCACAATGTATTGTGCTTACAGGAAGGAGGAAATGAGAAATTTTGTATAAATTCCAGGCTTCAAAAGACGGGATGTTTTCTACCCCAAAGGTACTAGGTCACAATAACAGATATCCCGCCTCCTTGTTATCTGTCACCCAGATTCAAAATAGTGTGGCTTTCTAGCTAAGTAGCATATCTCTACCAGGAGAATGTCATCACCTGTGTCCTTTGAAAATGCTGCGGGAAGACTATATGGTTTCTAAAAGGTACCAATCAGGTAAACCAGCATGTAGCCTCTAATGAAAGCACAATGATATGCTGCTTTTGCTGATTCTTTGCTACGTCAGTCTTTTCACAACATTTTTGTTTCTTTCCTGTTAAATATATGAAGTGTGCTTTACTTGCAACATGCTGATTTTACTGTGATGAAAGAGAACAAAGACGTTTTCAAATACTAACAAAAACAGGGAGATGAGATACACTGGATTCTAGTCATATAGAATTGGTCACGCTTCCATAGGACGGCAAACAAGAAGCTGCATAGTTTGTGAAAGGAATCAGAGCTAAGGTTTTGTGCTGGTGATTTCTAGAAGATTCCCAGGTCTAATAGAGGTAGGTGTTTTTATGGATTTCTGATGGATTAAAACTCTTGCTATTGCTTTTAGTTGATGGAGTTTTAAATGCAAGGAACTCATTTTTAGAAAGGAATACATTAATGGCAGGAATTTAAGACACTGTCATCCCCACCTGCTCTGCCCTTTCTCATCGCTAGAGGTTATGGAGAAGAGAATATATGGCTAAACATTTGCAATTCATAATCTGTCTCAAACCCATCTCCAACACTGGTGAAAGCTAGGATGCTAAATCATCAACTGAAGATGCAGAACTGCAGATACATGCTACATTCTGCCAAGCCTTTCACTGAAGCAGTAGCTTCTAACAGAGAATCTTGGCAGGCAGCTTGCGAACAGATCTAACACAGGGGCATGCACACAACTCAGCTTTGCATTTTAGGTTCAAGTAAGGCCAGAACCTCCCTGCATATTTGTGTCTTACTGAAACCATCTGGCTTTGCCTAATTTTTGGCTGAAGCTATTGTAAGCATTTGGCTCTGGAATCAGTGTCTGACAGATCCAGGCTTTGGTCTAGAACATGTCTTGAAACCTAAAGATCCAAAGAGATTTTATTTTGCAGAAGGGAAATGTTATTTGCATGATTTCAGACTGCATGCAACTAGCACGTGCTCATCTGAGTTCTGAACAACATAATGAATCTCCAGACCTTGTGAGTTTTCTCCATGATAGAAAAGGCATTCAGTGGGAAATACTGGTGAAGTATAGAGGTGTTAAGCCTGCGGCTCAGTAGCAGGAAAGTATTTGAGCAGATTTCCTGACTGCTAGAACTGATTTCTCATAGTTTGTTCCAAACCACTGAATGCAATGGTGATTTCTCATGCCTCTTCCCACTGGGATATATTTATTTTTCCATAGTGCATTGTTGGTTGGAATTGGATTCTTAGAATTTCCTGTCTCGCCACTGCAGTTGCTTCCAAGTGACCAATTCATTTTTCCAGACTTAGCAGCATAAAGGCTAGCTCTGCATTTCATACACTAGATTTCCATTTTCCTGGTAAGAAGTTTAGTTATCTTGCAATAAGCCACTATGAGTTCAATTCAGCGCACATCAAGATCAGTGCAAAGCCTATCACTGGCTTCTGCGAGCTTTGGATCTGACAGAGTGCAAAGGCAGAGTTCACTGAAGGAGAAGAATGTACTAAAACATTGTCTTCCTCAAGAAGTGCCCTGAAAATACATAAGGAAATCTGTGAACTGGAGCTAGCTCTAGTCTTCTCAGCAATATGAACAGAACTGTGCTACCCCAAGAACTGGGATCAATGTTGAGGGAAGGGGTGGAGCTGAGATAAAGCACCACTATGGAGATGCTTGAACTTCCTGCTTCTGCTGCCTCTTGGGAAGATGAAAGGTGTGATGGAAGTAAATCATCCATCTAAAAGAGCCTCCACCCACCCAGCTGAACTTAGTATCTGACACATCCTGACCCTCCCTCAGGAAGAGCATCAGCTGCCAGCCTAGCCTGTTGGGACTCCAGCACAGGCAAAGTAGGTAGCAGGGACACGGTCATGTTATCACTCTTGGCAGTCTGTTGATTTAGACAATTGCCTGTTTTGCTTAAGTCTCAGACCGTCTCAGTTCTTGCTGAACAAAAAGCAACAGCTCTGGGAGTGGGCTGGATATTCCTGACTCCCAATATGTTTTGACATTTTCATAGAACAGTCAGAGAAAGTAGTATTTTAAGGAAATTAGTTCATCCTCATAGGTGTGAAGGACTTTTAGACAAAGGTGTCATTGACCTGACTGGTGCTAATTGTGAGCATTCCCCAATACACCAAAGTAACTGCCTATTGCTCTAGCAAAGGCTTTAAATCAATACATGGGTGAACTTGCTGAACACCAAATCTTCTTTCTCTGAATTAAACTAACCTTTCAATAACAATGCAAGGACAACTTAATCTCTTTGAGTTGCTTCCAGAGGCAATGCTAGTGATCAGCATCCTCCTTAAACCTCTTGGTACATCAGAGGAAATCTAGCGTCCCACTAGAGAAAGTGACATTCGCTATCTGCAGTACTGTTATTTGACTTTCAGTCAATATACAGCTGACCGGACTTGAATTTCACAAATGACCTGCTTTTTCTACTGTTAGCAGGTTAACTGTAGTTAACCGCATGCAGGTCTTTCGGGATTTGAAATGTGCATTTAACAGTTAGTTTCTACCTGTCTTTAATGTAACACCTCTTTAGGCCTCGTACTCAGAATAAGGAAAGCAGCACAGGACATCGGATGGGAAGTCTCACCATAGTGTGATGGAGACACGAAAATAATAGTAACAGGAGATAACGTAGCCAATACCAGGAAAACAAAAGGAAAAGGAATAATGGCAGATGCTCAGAGCACTGCCAAAGGCCTGGGGCTTGGGAAAGGTCAGAGCATTATCTGCACTATGGATTCATGATTTGGGATAAGGACAAGCAATAGCTGTAGAACTCAAGATACAAGAGAAGTTGCGTACTGACATGGCATCTACCTTACTGGGGATAGCAGTAAAAGCCATCAGAAAAATGAAGAGGAAAAATATTTTATCTCAGTCACAAAGAATTGCATCAGACACAACAACTACTGACAGCCCGTCAGCTTCCTCTCTAGTGGACACAATTTCTGGAATGCACAGACAACTCCTTGAAAAGACAAAATTGCTTACCAAGCACTTAATTAATTCTGATTAAACAAACCCAAACCACAATAGCTACCTACAAACAAATAATAATAAAACATTACATAGGTCTGAGGTGTTAAATCAGTCAAACTGTGTAGCTGACACCAGTTTCCAAATTAATGTAATTTCCCCAGAGGGCACATTTGTCTGAACCATTAACATCCTGAAGTAGATTGTACTCTTGGGCACTTGCTCAAAAATCTCAAAGAATATTCAAATGTAGTGAAGATCATAATGGTAAACCAACTTCTGCACCCACCAGTAATGTTCAACAACTTTCACAACAAGCCTTTAATATACTTACACTAATATATATTAAGATAGTTAAGAAGATAGATCTATTTCCTAGGGATCCTCCACTGCATTTATACTTTGCCACCTTGCAATCACACAGCCTATCAAAAATCAAAGTAAATGTTACATTTAAATAGACTGTAACGTAGGTATCCAAAGCAACTGCATAGCTATGTGATGCACTGCTTATCTATTTGAAACACTTTTCCTGTGTATCAGTCAGGAAAAACAGACGTGATTAAAACAATAAACTTTTACTACGTTTCCAAGAATAACTGAAACTGTAGAATGTTATGCATAAAAGAGCAGGTGGACTGCAAGATTAAGGGGCGTTTGCATATCATGTGGCTAATTCAGCTCAGTCTTTCAATCATATCTCATTTTCTTGCAGTTCCTACTTTATGGTAAGTACAGTATTGTAAATGCTTTGAATTATAGCTCTGCTCTACCAACCTAGAGTTTACACTACAACTCACAAAACATCCTTCTAGTATCTGACACTTTCCATTTTGTCAAAAATAGGAATGGTGTGTAATAATAAGCTTCACACCTTGGCAGAAAGCAAGTGAGGGGTTATACAATCAGCTTCTGCAGCTTGTTAGAGGTCCAATTCACACTCACTGGAAAACATTTCAGAACATTAGTGGCCTTTGGGTTCAGCCCTGAAATAAGCTGGTTTTTTTCTCATGATGCTGCCAGGTGATCCTCCACGGAGTGCCTAGCCCTGTTCTTCAGTGTAAAGGATATTCTGCTTTTCACTGCAAGGCTGTGAAAAATGAGGACAACATACAGGCTCACCAAGCCAGGAGTCAGGATTTTGAAATTCTGTTCCCAGTGTTGTCAATCTCTAAACATATTGCCTTAAACAAATGACCTAATCCCTCTGTCTCTTCAGCTGTAAAATGGAGATAAAAATTGCCTTATAAGTCCTCATAAGGGAAAATAAAGTAATGTTTTCTAAACTACTTGGAGATCCTCACATGAAAGATTCCCTAGAAACCGAATATTGTGTCAGAGCAGATGGGAAATCCCTTATAAAATAGAAAAATAGCAAATTAAAACACAACAATCAAAAATTAAAAACGGCATGCAACAAACCCAGTTGGTAACATGGATGGGGACAAAACTTGAACCGTTTACAGACCTAATATTTACAAATCTAGACTTCCTAACACAAAGAGAGGAAAAGAAATCCTTTCCGATTTAGTCTTTGACAAACTATGAAGAAACACTTTTAACCTACTGTCTCTGAACTCATTATTGCCAGAACACTTACAGACAATAATTGCCAGTAAGCTGCTAATCCCCGCATACAAAAGTCTGTGTTACAGGGGGTGGAAGGGTAGAGCAGCTGGCACATATAATCTGAGACAATTTTTGATGGTGCTTAAAACAACCCACCCACCCTACAGAAGTAACCATATTGCTTTAAAAGTTTTTAGAGTTCTTTGTTGGAGGTTTTATAGATGTTTGCTGTAGTTATATCAAAGACCAGTGTAATATTTTATAACACATGGCAAACATGCTCAACTAAGAGGAAAACTGTTGTTCTTGGGCAGTTTGAGATAACACAACATCGCATCCTAATCCCTTATCAGGACATGTTCAGCTCCAGATTCAGATCCAGATGTACAGCCACACTACTTAGCAGATACAATGCAAATAGGCTGATGACATAGATGTTACAAATATTAATCTCACTGCATTAAATATCATTGGTTTATGAGACACCATCAAGGCGTTATACAATTTATCAACACCTGGTGATTTTGTAGCTGCCCTTTGGTATTTTCCTATGTGATTTGGACCTCTTTTTATGGCATTTATCTTCTAAATGATTCAGTCACAAACTTATCCCTAATCTCTACACAAATGCTTCCTTTATGTGTTTAATTTTTCACTAGCTTACTTACCATTATTAGCTTTTCTGATTTCACTATAAACTGTTTCAGTCCCCTTCTGTACAGGAGCTGGAAAATGTATTGGCACAGAATCAATTTTTTTTCTTTTTTTTTTTTTTTTTTTTTTTTTTTTTTTTTTTTGTTTGCCTTCTGAAAAGCTCCTTAAACAAACAGAACATACTGTTTTACTTTCAGAGGAAGTAGTTACATAAGCAGCAATGAGTCTGTGGAGTCTGCATGAGAAATCAACTACACCCCCTCCCCCAAACCCAAACCATAAGGTTCTCAGAGGGAGAGATCTCTCCCTCTATATAAAAATGATGACAAAAATAGGCTTCCCTTTCTAAATTTCACCTTAACATTCTAATATTCTTCTCAACTTAAATTGCTACTGCTTTAATTTTACAGAGACTTCGACCACTAGAGAAGAGTTTCTCTGGATCACTTTGATGAGCTTCTTCAATCTGTTCTAAGGATTTAGGGAGCCTAGACCTGAGGAGATCTATCATTTGGAAGACTAACTACACCGCTTTTTGGCAACTAGCCTGATTAAATCTTATGGGCACAAAAATAATCTAATTTGCTGTTCTTTGTGAAATGTCTCAGAAGAATACTTGCAGATTTCACACAGCACAGCCGCTATTTGCATGCTATCTGGGAAAGATCTCTCAGTAACTCAGTGTGGCGGATGCTTTCATTAGTGCACTGAGATCAGGTGGACATAGCAGGAGTGAAGGGTAAGGCAGCTTGTGGAAAGACAGAAAGTAAGGAGAAAAAGCAAACAGAGAAGATTTCTGCCTCCAAGGACACAGCTGGGTATCAAATGCAATGTTAGTCTCAGACACATACTTTTTGGACCCTTAGGTTTAGAAATAAGCCCCTGTAAACCTCTGCTCTTGTACCAGCTGGAAAGCAAACATCTCTTCCTTTTTTGTATCTGACGTGTGAAAACCTATCCACAGAGTTTTGATACCAAACTACAGACACTTACCCCAGCAGGGAAGGGGAGAGTCTTGTCCAAAGGCCTGAAAATAGCAAGAACTCAGTTTCTCTATGGTCAGTGTAAACACAGCTCTGGTTAGTGGGAGATTAGAACAATTTCCTTGATTTCTTGCATGGTTGTAGATTAATAATCCCTGAGTAACCATAGTAAAGCAAAGTGCTCCGGAAGTCTGTGCATTTATAACCTCTTTCTTCATTTAGTATAAAGGCCTATGCAGACAGGGTCTAGGAGCTTGCTCCTCAATGATCGCAAAGCATTTTAGAAACATTCATTTATTTCAGTTAAACTGAGTTTCTTAGAAAACCTCCTAATTCTATCAATGTCACCTCCAATTTCTGTGGGTCTTCAATAAACCAAGAAGTTATATTTTTCCACTTAAATTTAAAAAAAAAAAAAAAAGAAAAAAAGAAAATAGTTGTTCCCTCTCTGCAAGAAACTGGAAAGAGAATTCACATGTCTGGATACAGGGTCCTGTACTTAAACTATAAAAAAACATTTAAAGAATTCAGACATATTGATCTGCAGCCAGACTCAGAATCAGGATTGTTACTGTTCTGCATTGCTCTGAAGTACCTAAGTCTCTCTGGCACCACATTCTAATTTCCCAAAGCTAATTTCATTTTTTTAAATTCTGTTACATGTCCTTTAAATGTTGGGAGCTAACACATCAGAACTGAGTTGTAAAACTGCTATTAATTTCAATGACAGTAGGAGTTACACTTCACTGAATGCCTAATCACAGCTTTCAAACTTGCAGTTTTGCCATGAACTTTCTTTGCAAAATAGCCTGAAGATCTTGAAGCACATTTCATATGCTTATGGAGTATTGCTTAAATTATCAATTCAATTTCCAGTGAAGTAAGAAGTAATCTTCTCAGAATTTTAATGGGAGGTAGCTCATTTTGTTTGGAACACTTTTTTTAGCAGATTACAGACCTAAATCTACTCCTGTTGACTCTGTGGAAAGACTTGGTGGCAGGCACTTCCTTACTTTGCTTTTTTTTTCAGACCCATTTCATTAAATTGTAATATAATGCCACTGCCCATGTTATTTTCTTTGTTAATCTTCCAAAAATCGTCTCAGCACTAAAAAAACGTGCTAGGAGAAATTGCTTGGATGATTTGACATTTTGTTCTCACTAACTTTATAATGTTGCCACCCTGCAGTAACCAGCTACAGAAGTAAAAGAAGCAGCGTGTTCTTACCCAGCCATGATTAGCATTCTCCCTTCTCACTTCAGGGGTATTTCCTGATCTTACTTTAGCTCTGGCCTTTATTTTTGCTTGGATTAACAATTAACGTTCTAAATCACTTTGCCATCTTTTTGCACAGCTAAGCGCGTACCCCCACTCATGAGTGAGACCGGCAAACTGGCAACAGCAGATGAGGAGAAAGCCGAGGTACTCAACAACTTTTTTGCCTCAGTCTTCACTGGCAACCTCTCTCCTCACCCCTCCTGAGTCGATGGATGGCATGAAGACCAGCAGGGTAAAATCCCTCCAGCTGTAAGTGAAGACCAGGTTCGGGAACTCCTGAGGAACCTAAATGTACAGAAGTCCATGGGACCTGATGAGATGCATCCCAGAGTCCTGAGGGAACTGGCTGATGTAGTTGCCAGGCCACTCTCCATGATATTTGAAAAGTCATGGCAGTCAGGGGAAGTCCCCAGTGACTGGAAAAAGGGAAACATTGTGCCCCTTTTCAAAAAGGGTAGAAAGGAAGACCCTGGGAACTACCGACCTGTCAGCCTCACGTCTGTGCCTGGGAAGATCATGGAACAGATCCTCCTAGAAGATATGCTAAGGCACATGGAGGCCAGGGAGGTGATTCGAGACAGCCAGCATGGCTTCACCAAGGGCAAGTCCTGCCTCACCAACCTAGAGGCTTTCTATGATGGTGTAACAACAAGAGTGG